AACCGGTTAGGGTCCCTTTTTTTGGCCTTGGGGCCGGTTTTTGTTTTTTTAAAAAAAACAATTTTTTGGGAAAGGTTCCCAGGGGTTTTTTCCTTTTAAAATGGAAAGCAAAGAGGCCCCCTTTTTTTCCCCTTTCCCCCCCCAATTTTTAGGGGTTTTTTTCCCCCGGGGGGCCCCCCCCCGGGGATTTTCCCTTTCCCCCTCCCCTAGAAATGGGGAAGGGTCCCGGGGGAACCCCCCCCCCCCCCCCCCCCCCCTCCCGCCGCCACCTACATGGTATGTACGTAGATACAGCAGTAGAGCGGTCTGACGAAGTTTCGGCACGAGGATTTCGAAAACCATACCTGGTACTTCGAGTTTACCATCGTGTTGTTGATGCGCCTGTTGTAACCGTCGTTGTTGTCTTGTGATGGCGGGACGCTGCCTGAAACGGTCGTTCTTCCATGCAGAGTGCCGCGTCTTGGATTGGAAGGAGGATTAGGATTAAGGGCACAAATAATGTGAGGATGGTCCAGGTCTTTTGTTTGATTACACTGACGGGATTCGCCTCTCGCCCTTAACGATCAGTCCGGACGTACGGGGATTCAGAAAACATCGTGTGTAATGTAGAAGACGAGACGACGATAACAACAACGAAGCAGGGTTAGGGTGGTGGGAGTAGTGATTCGGATGCGAAACCTTGTTTTCACGATCAGGGTTTTGGAATTTTGTTTGCGTCCTCTTACACGCCAAGTAAAAAAAAGCACAGCGATGTTGGTTGGATGCCAACAGCACCAAGGAGAGCAATTGAGACAAGTGACAGACGACGTGACACAGACGACGGCAACAACATAGGACATGCGGCCTGCAAGCAAGCAACGTTTACGGGTCCTCCATCCTCCACCCATCCTCGATGCTACAGCATTTTCCCACGCATGTCCGGTTCAGTTCAGTTCGACTCAATCCATCCCCATGCATGTGCGTGCTGCTCGTCGGTGGGAAGCACGGCAGTATAGTGCTCAAGTTCGACGTCTGTGAATTGCTGGCAGCGTTGTTGTTGTTGTTGTTTTTATCGTTGTTGCTGAAGATACCGTCTCTGGCGATGATTCGGTTCTTGTTTTCAGTATGGTTCTCGAGGCCGCCTGTTGGTGATGATGTTGCGGGCGAGGAAGGGGAGCGCTGCCTGTGTCGCGCCGCAGACACAGCGCCTCCATACAAAAATCAAATCCCCTACACCCACACGGACGTATTTCATGCTTGATGCTCCATCCCGCGATGTCGAAATTAATTAACCCGCCCGCTGATCCGCGTCGGGCAATGACCTAGTTCAACGTCAAGAAGACATGAAACCAATGAAAGTTGCGAGGCACTTGCTGTCTGTGCGTGTTGACCGACTTTTCTCCCTAGACTGGTCTTGTAAGGGTAAAATGGTAGAGGTGAAGTCACATCGTCAAAAACTGACGACAATCAAAAGGCCCAGTAGGGTTCATTGTAATAGAGTGCTCTCTCTCTCTCGTTGCGGTGCCAGAAACAACACAGCGACCCTGAAAGTCGTCCACAGGGAGGATAAGGAAAAGGATAAGGGTAAGTGAGAGACTTGACACCGCCGGAACCTATTCATAATTCATCATTTTGTTGGTGTTCCACGGCTACAAGGAGAAGGTTGAGATTTCGGACGTGTTTCGGACCGAATAGAAGAAAAGGACGACCGTTCACGTATGCGTACTGCATCGGTCGAACTATTAGGTACTGTCAAGAACCAAAAGTTTATAAATGTGTTATTCGCACTTGGTAGGTGTCGGGTGTCGGAAAAAAACGTACGGGCGTATTGCTGCAGCTTCCTCCCCCCTTGCCATAACCAGAGGACGAGAGAAATCAATGTAACTATCGACGAGAATTCTGCCGATGTGGACCGACTCCACACCTAAACACTTCCCCCGCCGCTCCTGTTGGATCTTCCCCCCATTTTCATCGAAACCAAGCATAGAAAATTCGAAATTGCGATGGTACCATTGCCGGCAACAGGCCCTGCCTATGCTGGCTGACCCATGTCTTTTGCTTCTACCGTTGTTGGTCTCTCTCTCTCTCGCCATGGCACGAAGCAGAGAGAGTTCGACAGCATCTTCGACAAGAACTCGGCCATCCTCGACGTGCCTTTGGAAACCTTCGATGAGTCGAGGGTAGAGCCTCTCATGCCGGGATCCACGAAGACCGAGCTGCCGGTTTTCATGCTGGATATGTCGGCATGTCCAGGGGGGGTGGTACCGTTGCACATCTTCGAGATGCGCTACAGACAGGCAAGGAGGGCGTTGGTGCCATTGTACAGTAGGAAGTGGTCCCTGTATGTGGCCGCATGGCCGCATAGTGCCAAGTGATTTGGCCGGCGTTGAACCGAGCATTCGAGAGAGTATGTGACAAGTCGAATATCTTATCTGTGTCTCGTGATTTCACCTGTCTTATTATTCATAGGGTGACTGGCCTGTTTATATAGGGACCACTGCTTTATGTGTGTTGGCGGGCGGTTATCGCTTGGAGTTCTTTGTGGTTTCGGGGGTTCGAGTCGAAAACGGAGCTGCTGTTTATGAGCTGTTCGAGCTTGGGGAACGTCGCAACTGGCAGCTGGCAGGTAGCTGTGGACGGGTCCTGCCTGCTGTTTTTGTCGTCTTGCGATGACACTGCTGTGTTCTTATGATAAGCCCACTCCGGGGGATAACTTGTATTGTGCTATTTTTTTATTGAGAATCTACGTTTGCTGTACCTTTTTTTGGTTTGCGCGAGGCAGATGTTCAACGACATTGGGACGACGGACAACCGCTTCGGCATGCTGGTCACTGATGCCAAGACGGGGAGGCCATGCAAGTACGGGGCTGTGATGGAAGTGAGTAGTATGGAATGATCGTACAGCAATACTGCAGCAGTAACCGCCGGAAAGAAGACACCTCCTTGGGATGAACCCCCGCGGATATGACTTGTTTCGATGTGTCGAACCTCATGCGTGACGACAAGAATGCCATGGTGGTGTGGAAGCTCTTCCTCTGATGGGAAGCGATGTCTCTGGCAAGAAGACGAAGGTCTTGAATCTTCAAACGTCAGATTGACAAGGATGAACTTATGTCTACGTGGTGCCTGCTCTCACAGCCCCTCATCGTCCCCCTTGATTGGTCAACTGAAATGACCTTCACCTTAACCTTACCAGTGCGCACAACGAAAGCTCCTGCCAGATGGACGGCAGTACGTCCTCAACCAGGCGGTGGAGCGGTTCAGGTACTACTTACACAGACGCTGTCTCGTGTTGAGCGTTGAGTGCTGAGTGCTGTGTGTTGAACTGCTGAATGTTGAATGCTGAATAGCACACAGTTACACTCGGAAAGCTGCCGTGTTTCTGGTGGCCCCACCTCTTTGGCTGTACTTCGACGGACATTTGGTGCAGTTCAAGCCAAGAAGGAGATTGTTAAGAGCTGCGCTGCGATGTTGTCGATAGACGCAGTGTGGGTTACCTTTGGTTGAGCTATGTAGGGCTCGATAACAACGAAAGTACGTAGATGCTTGGGATTATTTCTCTGTCATGATCTGGCGTGTGACGAATGTAGGACGTGATGTTCACGGAAGGTTGGAATATGCCACGTTCCGATATGTACATGCGGTTTCCCCCCCCCCCCCCTCGTTGCATGTGCTTTGTGGTTGGGCTGTACCTCCACGGGGTGCCTTGTTCCAAGTACAGCGTGGTCCCGGTTTAGCAGTCAATGGTGTCACAAAATGTCATAACCGATTGAGGGCATCGCCGCTAAACGGGATTGCCAGTTATATAGAGTGTAGTTTGACTAACGAGGTGCAGCCGTGCCACGAGATTTGGAACCGCTATTCAGGGCATCCCGCTAAACAGGGAAGGAACTAACCGCTAAACCGGGACCACGACTACTGTATGAACGTTCACCACATCCTCTAGGAGGGTTGTTGTTTTCTATTGCGTGCGCAACCTGCGAAGGCATGGACCTCCAAGTACGCCTTGCGTTCTTGACAGAAACCCAATCTCCCTGTACATGCCGATTCCAGCCTTGCCCCCAACACACACATTCACTTTCGCTGTAACACCACTGCATTTCGATCATGATCGTGCTATTGTGAGCTGCTGCTGTATCACGTGCATCCAACGAATTTGACACCCCGCCCCCTCTTCTCTCCTTGTTGTACCCTGTGTCCTTTGTGCACCTTGTCTTGTCGCGACTCACCGCCCTGGCGACCGATCCTGTCAGGGTGCTGAAGGTGTTGAAGACTAACCCGTACACGGTGATGGAGGTGGAGGTGGGCATCCCGGATAACAAGCCGCTGGAGGGAGAGCCGGTCAAGTGGGGGGCGGAAGAGGGGACAAGATTGGAAGATCTTGAGCTAGAGGTGTGATTGAAAGATCTTGAGCTAGGGGTATGATGGGGAGATGTTGAGCTCAATAGGGACATGGTGGGAAGATGTTGAGCTAAGTAGGGGTATGATGGGACGATGTTGAGACGAGGTGTGATTGGAAGATGTTGAGATCGAGGTGTGATTGGAAGATGTTGAGCTAGAGGTTGGTTTGCTGCTCGGGGTGAATGAATTCAAGCGACAAGAGAGAGAGGGAGAGGGTGAGGGAGGAAAGGTGAGATGTGATGCATGATTATGAGGACATGTTGCACTAGCCTGTACCAGCGTGACCGGCACAGAAGATGGCTAAAAGCAAACAACAAATACAACAGGTGCCAAGCATGGCGGTGACACGGTGCACACTGTTAACACCGCAACCATTACGTCCTAGACCCTGTATCACGATGGAATTTTCGAAACAGGTCTCAGCGGTTGCCATCTGAAGTCCTACCGGGCAGAAATGCCTGTGAGTGCTGATTTTTGAAGTGTTGGGAAAACAAAAGAAGGGTTCTCTGATTCGATGTTTCCGCTGGAAATGGTCGTTTATGTTGCCTGGCGCCGCCTTTGCTTTTCTTCTAACGACCTTTCTTGCTTGTGTACGTGCTTGGCTGGCAGGTGTACGATACCGTCAACTCGGTGGTGGACCTGATGAACAAGCTAGCGCCTCCCGCCACCCCAGGAGAGAACCGAACCCTTTCCGAGTGGTTCTTGAGGTGGGCACGCTCGACCAATGAGATGATTCTGATTCTACTGCTGTTGTTGTTGCACTGCTCGACCAGTGAGGGCGATCTATCCGAGAGAGAACCGAGCCCCTTGGCGAGTGGTTCTTGAGTTGTGCACGCTGGACGCTCGACCAATGAGATGATTCTACACTAGCACAGTAGTGCACTTCGCTGGCACCTCATCCTACGAGCGTGCTGTAAAAGTGATGAAACTTTCTCTCAGTTAGGGGCGGATGCAAGCCACTATCATAGAGAGACTTCCTGCTGGCGATAGCAACACCAACACCAACAGCCACAACAGTAGCAACAACAAGAGGGAGTTCATAGATCTATCGTCGAACAGGTCACCCTCTCCCATCCCACACTTGCTTGCCCCAAAGAGGTACAACCCTCTCCATCGACACGCTTTCATGCCCCAAAATGCCCTATTTTCCATGGCACACTTTCTTACACCAAGGAGGTACCCTCTTCCTTGAACACACTTCCTTACGCCCTCTCCTATCTTACCCTTTTTATTGCCCGAAAAAGGTACTCTCCCAAGGTGAAGCGTGACGAGGGTCTGGACGGGGAGTCCGCGGGGGACGATCTGGCGAAGCAAGCGAAGGAGGACGAGAGGCGGATGAAGTTCTCTTACGCCGTGGCCGAGATGATTGCGATGGAGTCGCGCACCAAGCAGCTCCTCCTCCAGGTGAGGAGTGACATGAAATGACGCCGTTGAAGGTTACCGTTGGGGTGATGACCGTTGGACGTAGTTTATGTTGCCGTTGAAGGTCGTTGGACGTAGTTTGTGTTGCCGTTGAAGGTTACCGTTGGGAGTACTTTCTGATGCCGTTGAAGGTTACTGGTGGGGTGATGACCGTTGGAAGCACTTTCTGATCCTCGTGTCTCGGTTAGGAAATCGAAGTGAGCGGTGATTGGCAGGTGGCCATCGGTGTGTTGTATGTGTTTCTACAAACAACGGCATTTTCTGTGAAGAAACGACACAGCAGCATCGAAAAGTTGTACCATGCTTAGTAGTTCGAAGCATAAATCTATGGTAAATTCTTATTTTTTTTCACTCAGAAGATCTTTGTGATTCGACATATTGGCCATTGCCGCTGACCATGAAGCCGTTGAAAACTGAGGGTTAGGGTTAGGGTTAGGGTTAGAAACTGAGACGAAACCACCACACCGTACATTCGTGGGTGCATTGTGTGCACAAGGTAGCTGGTAGGGTGCTGTTTGGACTGGTTGTTTCCAGCGATCAGGTTTCCGCCCAGGTGGTACCCGTGACGACGACCGTGCTGTGGGAAGAAGTTGGTAGACTTGACCGACTTGGTGATGGGATGGTTCACTGGAGTCTGTTGATGACGTCATGATCACTCCTGTATTGTGCTTATTAGAGAGGTGAGGGCTACCGTCCGGCCCCCTACATAGTTCTGAGTATAATGGTATCCTGCCGGTGGTATCATCCTCACCTTCTTCACCTGTGATCGTTTGAGGAAGGTTAAGGTTAAGGGTCGGGTACGCACGCCTTTCCGCTGTAGTTGGTGGCTTAACCTAACTCTTTGGCCGTCTCGTTCTGCCAGCTTTCTGACTTGTGATTGGCAGGCTGCTTCCACCCACCGCTGTGTGATGATACTGTATCTCGTGGTCGTGACGCCTTACCGCCGTGGTGAAGCACGTAACGTAGGTGGCATGACATGACGTGAGATATCACACCCCCCGGAACGATTTTCAAAGCGGTATTTAGTCGATGTAAGTGGTTCAATTGGTTCACGACGGAAGACGATGACGAACACAAATCAATCAATCCATGTATTTTTGGGAAGCCCATCGCGACGGCACGGTTCTAACGCCGCCATTTTCGGCTCCGCCGCTTTTTCTGCTGCGGAGTAGCCGATCTTTGAAAATTGTGCGGGTGTTGTCACTTTCGGTATGCTTTCTACCCATGTCACTTACTGCGAGAATGATGGGTGCTAGCATCACCGCTGAATTTGCTGAATTTTCACGTTTGACGGAAGGAAATTTGAATCAACATTGATGTGCGTCATACCGTCGTGTTTGCTGTCTGTCTTTTCGCCGCTGCTCAACTTCTCGAAATTTCCTTGAATTTTCTCTCCCCACACTTGACAGTCCCGCAGCACGGCCTACCGTCTCATGGCCGTCAGGGAGATATTGGTGAAGGCTCAGAAGGAGCTCGCCGCCAAGAGCTCGCTCAAGGACACCCTGGGATAATAACCGTTTCCCACAAGGAAAACATGGAAGTACCTCGGAATGGAACACTCCGTGAAGACGGTTAGTTGTGCTTGCCTGCGTGGGAGCTTGTTGCTTGGACGCGGGTAGGTTCTGTACAGAGTCATTTTCTCAATGTCAAGAGTATCACAAACGCGTGGATTGGTGTCACCGCTGCGAATCCCTCTATCCCGTCTTGGGGGCAGGGGTGCAAGGCCCGGGGGGTATTTTACGCTGTGGTCGAAGAAGTTGCCCGTACCCATCCATGCATTTTCGAAGAATTAGGGGGAGGGGGGTGGTGTTTCTTGCACGCGATGGGAGACAGCGAGCGCCGTTTTTGTCTAGGATTCGCTCGAGGGCACGGTTGCCCACAGGCCATTGGGTTAGAGACTGATGCCTTGCGAGAGACAAGGAAGGGAGGATAAGGATGATACATGTGCCTTCCCTTCCTGCGGGGTATTTGGTATTGGTGTGTGTGTTTTCGTCCCTTCTATATCTCGGCCTTGGAAGAGAAGACTGCTGCAAAAAGAGAAAGAGAAAGAGAGCAAGGACGTGCTGGCTCCGTAAGCGGTACCGGCACTGCTTCTGCTGTAGAGATTTATCCTCGCGGGGGATATGCTCACGTTTGGGTACCACACCCTCCTCTTAGGGTCACAACCACCTCGATTAGTGCAAAGTTTCGGCGTGTTGCTTTGTTGGCCCCGCTTCGTGTCCCTTCGGGTCTAAAAGACTATGTGTCTCCTGTGTTGGAAAAGATGAGCCGGCCTCGCTGGACATGGAAGATGTACTTTTCCTCGTGGGATGGCTGTACCCCTTTTGGGCAACAGGGAGCGTGGCCTGACTTCGGTCTTTTGTGGTCTTTTGTGGTCTTTGTGGTCTTTGTGGGATGACCGTACCCTTTTCGAGTAGAAGGGGAGTGTGGCCTGAGTAGGCGCTTGCCGTACAGTATTCGCGACGAGACGAGAGCCTAGCACTGGAAACACGCTACTGAAACTGGGTGATGGAATCTTGCATGGAATCTTGGGGGGACAGGAGAAAAGGGTCGACCCGCGTAGATGACAGCAGTAGTTCACTTCCGATAGGGCAGATTCTTGGCCCAGACAGCTACTAATAATAGACGACTGGAGTTTGTTCTTGTCGCGCTGGGTGTTCGTAGATACGGAGATAGTTTGAGTGGCAATCTCGGGTGTTTTGAGTGGGAATTGAAACTCAATCCCTTACGGGGCTTGGGGTACTCTGGGACGATGCGATTGTTGGACTCATGTGCCGGATACTCTGACGCAACAGTGAAAACAGTGGTTTTAAGCGGGCCGGACGACGACGAAACACGGAAACGCCCACGTGTGATTGGCCTGCTCTTCAGACCCGCAGTCTAATGGCGCATGTGTAGCTTGCCCGTTCCTTGTCACGATAGAATGCCCACACCCAATCTGGCGCGCGTCGCGTTTGGATTCCTACGTGCATGTGCAGCCTATTTGATGCCGTCGGATTTTTCTGTGCTTGACAAGACGGGGGATATCACTAACAACGCCGAACAAGGGTGGGTTGAAAGAAACACGAACGAACAACACGAAGTTTGTTTGGCAAGTGTCTCTTCTTAACAATGTCTCTACTGCGAAGGTGTACCGGTTCTGGTAAAAGTCAATCGACGGATACCCGGCGAATCGGGTCCTCCTTAACACTACCCATTCTTGTTTTGGTCTTGATCGGGCGTGATGACGGGATGAGATTACAAGGCGTTGCCGGCCTATGCTCCGGGTTTGGTGATGGTTCTGGACATACATGCGGCGAAACCCCATGATTTTTTGTTGCCGGTCATACCCCAACTCTCTCGCGGCATGCCGCTGACGCTATAATAACTGTAAGCAGAAAAAGCGTGTTGTTTCACTTGGTCTCCCAAGAATTTCACTCGGATGACAGTCCCGGCATAGTTGTTCATGCCGCTGGCCGCTCACGCAAAACAAAATGTGTTTCTCTTGTTTCGTTTGCCGAGAATTTCATTCCATGACGAGCGCAAAAACCACACCAAGAGCAACAAATGCATTTGCCCTGATCAACACACGGACAGTTTGTCCTGTCCGCTGCCTGAGCCAACGAAATAGTAAGTAAAGCCTGGTACTATGCGTATTGTAGAAACTCCCGAAGCGCCTGGTGCGGCACGGTGATCCAATCCTCAACCTTCTCGTAATGTGTTCTCCACGGCGGGTCCAGTCATGCCTAACCCTATCTAAATCACAACGAGGTGCATTCAAAACCTAACCAGGAGTGAGAGTCAAGCAGTTATCTAGCTTTGCCTAGGGGGGTGCCGCCCCTGCCCCCCCCCCCCCAATACAGAACCACCTCAACATGGGGCAAGCAACGTGTTTGAGCATCCTAGAGGCAACTTCACACCCAAAAACACGAAGAGAGCAGTCCGTCGCACTGAGATTGACTGACATCTCTTCATTGGTCAGCCGGTTAGCACGGTCGATGCTACTGAAAAAGACACAAACACACACACCATTGGCCAGCCGATTAGCACGGTCGATGCTACTGAAAAAGACACGCACACGCACACCATTGGCCAGCCGATTAGCACGGTCGATGCTACTGAAAAAGACACAAACACACACACACGGTCGGTCGGTGGGGCAAAAACTAACAACTGTCCTCAAGGGTGTTGGGCAATGCTCCCGGCTTCCATCTCATCGTCTGCTCTCGTGAGGTGTATATGTGTGTGCGAGCGTGCCGACTACCTTAGGGTTAGATCCACGTGTGTGTCTAGAGGGCGTATTTTCTTGCCAAGTCTTCACGGGAAGGCATGACCATGTTGAACATCTGCATTCCGTGGAAGAGGTCCATGTGGGCCTTGAGCTTCACCAGCTTATCCGGAAACGTCCTGGAAAAAAAAAGAAAAAAATGGACAACCAAACGGGTGTGTTCCGTGGTTGATGGTTTTAACTTTTTTTCACTCATTTGGGCGACGGAAAAAAACAAACGCAAGGGGTATCGGTAATTGAGGTCGAAGAGTGAAAGTTGTGAACGTTGCCAGTGAAAAACATGAAATATTGGAAAGCTTCAGACAGGCAACGCGACGATACTCGTCAAGTTGCTGTCACAAAAAGAAATATTGGGGTATTGTACAGTGTCCGAAATTGAGGTCGAAAACAAGTAAAATACAGAGTACTCTCCGCTATGACAAGAGGACCGCCACAACGCTTCCAGCGAACGTTAACTTGTGGCGGGCAACTTGATCGACATGTGCGGGTGCACCATCAACGACAGCAACGGCACGCAGAGAGGGAGACCTCTTGCCTCTGCTTCTCCATCTCGAAGGCGATCTGCATATAGTGCACGGAAGACTTGTACAAAGCAACCACAAAACCATGACAACAAAAAATAGCAGCAACGACAAGAACAACACCAACAAAGCAAAAACAACACCATTTATCATCGTCAACAACAACGGCAACAACAACAACAACAACAACAACAACAACAACAACAACAACAACAACAACAACAACAACAACAATAACAACAACAACAACAACAACAACAACAACAACAACAACAACAACAACAACAACAACAACAACAACAACAACAACAACAACAACAACAACGAAACCAACATACAAACCAAGAACCACATAGCAGGAACAAGAACAAAAACCAGAACAAGAGCAAGAAACAAGTCTCACCACTGCTTTTCGATGTCAAAGGCCGCCAGCATGTGGTACGTGGTGACGGCGAGGCGGAGATCGCCGATAGTCAGGTCGTCTCCCTCCAAGAACGGGCCCCGAGCAGGCCCGTGCTTCAAAAGAATGTTCTCAATCTTCTCGAGGCTGCAGGCAAACACCCCAGGATACGACCAAAACAGCAACAAGAACAAAATACGGTTGATGTGCTTGAAAAGGATGTTCTCAGTATTCTCGAGGCTGCGGGCAAACAACGGTCCATAGCAACAAGAACATCTTCGAAGCGGTTCTTAGATGCAACAGCGTACTGTACCGAAACAAAGGGAGAGGCACACTTAGGAGAAGCAGCACGGTAGGGACAGACGCGCAGGTGTTGCGCAGGTGTTGACTTTCGTCCTTGATTTCGAGAGAGCACATTTCGATACGACGGTACGATGGCCCTCATCGCCGAGGCACGGTAAAAACACCATGCACGGTCAGGCCAACGCTTCCTATCGGGCCGGTGAGAACCTTTCGAAACTTCCCTCCCGAAAACTACAGCAGCCTTCGAAGGTATTTCTACTAAGTCAACATGCTGGATGAAGCATGCAAGTGGGGAAGTTGGGTTAGGGTTAGCGATGATACTTTTTCTTTTTTTTTACTGTTCTGATTCCTCATAAAGTTACTGTAATTTCTCGCGAAGGTAAGGCGGTCCGAAAAGTAACTAATGTTTGTCACGGAAAAGAGTGCCACGTCGTGTGGATGGCGGGTACCGAAGGCCATAGACTAGTCCTCCAACACGTGGTTGTCCATCCATCACAACTTCGAAAGACTTCGGTCGTTGTAACAACAAGGAGGGCTGAAAAAGATGCCTATTTCGCGTCTTCTTGTCTGTCTTTTCTCCTGCCTGTCTGCCTGTCTGTCTACGTTCTGTCTGTTTGTGTGTCTACCTTTCTGTCTCTGTCTGTCTGTCTGTCTACCTATTTGTCTGTCTGTCTGTCTGTCTGTCTGTCTGTCTGTCTGTCTGTCTGTCTGTCTGTCTGTCTGTCTGTCTGTCTGTCTGTCTGTCTACCTGTCTGTCTGCCTGCCTTTCTGTGTTTCTCTCACCAGTTGTTGAGTCTCCGCTCATCCGTGTCTAGGTCAGTCTTCCCGGCCTTGTTGAAGTGCAGTGTTGTCCACGCCGGCTCCAGCTGTCATCGATCGATCGGTCCAAAAACAAACAAGCAAGACGACCAAGAGAGAAAAGTTCGTCATAAATGTAGCATTATAGAAAAAAATAAATAGAAGTACTACAACCTCCACAACACCAAACACTAAACATACTAAACATGGCAGAATAAACAGTATTGTAGCATTCATTGTAGAACCTCCACTCCACCAAACACATCAGAACACAAGAGAAAAGCTGGCCAATAACAAGCAAGACGACCAAGAGAGAAAAGATGGCCATAAAAAACGGAAATGTACCAAAAAAGCTGGCCATTACAACGCATTGCAGAACCTCCACCCCCCTAAACATGTCAGAGCAAAAAGAGAAAGCTGGACATAAAACGAAAATGTAGCATTCATTGTACAAGCCCCATTACACTAAACAATGTTCGTTCGCGTTCACAGTTCCGAGGAGCATCGGCGTCTTCGGCACATGTCTCCATAATCGCGTTTGGTGTAGAGCTCGTTTCCATTCCACCAACTCGCACACCACACACGACCCGACTCTGTCGATGCTCCCACACCTCTCAAACCAACACCAAAGGGGCATCAGTCCTATTCTCAGCAAACCGCTGCTGCACGGAAACAAGACAAGACAGGTGTACAGCCGAGGATCCTTAGCAGTGCCGGCATGTGCACCAACGATCACAACACCGGCAGTATTGAGGGCCCTCAACTACAATACAATCGCCGCTGCTTTCAGGACACAAAATGTATCTGAGGCTGCAAGGAAACTCATGGGTACAGTATTCTTCACGTCAAGTGTCCTTACAGCGAGGGGGGAATCAATAGTATATAATTACACCCCCCTTCTTTCTTCATTCTGCGGGGCACCAGCCATGCTTCATGAAAAACAACGGCGTCCTTTCAAAGCGGGGATTGTCCTCAATTACGTCCTTAAACCTATTTCGGCGTCCTCCTTACACCGATTGGGCGTCCTTCAACCGATTTTGGCGCCCGAAAAATCGGTTCTGGCGTCCTTCAAGATTTTGGCGTCCTCAAACCGATTTCGGCGCCCTGAAACCAGTGGTGGCGTCCTTAAACCGATTTCGTCGTTCTTAAACCGATTCTGGCGTCCTTACACCGGTTCCAGCGTCCTCAAACCCGGGGAAATACCGCGACACATGCCTCAATCACCTTTGCGACGGCGTTCTTCTCTGGCTCCAATGACTCCACGAAGTCGGAAAGCAGCACCCTCTCCGGCAGTCCCGCCAAGAGCTCCTCGGCGTCGTCGTAGACCTCGTCCCCCATCTCCAGCATCGCCTCGTCCTCGTCCTGACGGTGGGGGTCCCATGGTGTTGGGGTCAGAGTTTGCGGGACAATGTGGTCCCAACTAATCCCAGCCCGAACTTACAGCCAATTCCATACTTTATCCAGTACGTGTTATGTTTGGTCAGAAAAACCTGCGCAGACTACGGACTGATTTACCCAAAGAGAGTACGGCTATTACGAAAAAGGACGAGGGAGGGGGCACGCAGACCATAACCCCAACTTTTGCCGATTCTATGCTTTGTCCAGAGTACGTTGCTCTCAGAAAAACCCTGAGTAGACTACGGACTGATTTATGACGAGAAAGTAAGACTATTACGAAAAAAGACCGGGCAGGGGTAGGCAGACCCTTAACTCCAACTAAGCCGATTTCATTCTTTATCCAGTATGTTTGCTTACTCAGAAAACCTTCCGTAGACTAATGCAATAGCAAGAGGTAAGGGGGGCGGGATTACAACACGGACGACAAATATGAACGACAGCAGTGCACGGGTAGGGTCGGAGGAAGGGGCGTGGTTGCAAGAAAGAACGGTAGCGACGAACGACAGCGCGCGGTATCATCAGCATGACAAGCTCTGCTCTTGATCGAGATGGTTCAGGATGAACGGCGTGCTGGTCGATGGGCAATAAGGAAGATTGAGACAGAGGACACGTGTCTCCGAAAAACAACGGTCATTTCTTGTTGCAAACTTGCAGCTTTCTCTGTCGTCTCCCCACTGAGAGGGACCACTCGACAACCTTATAGTTTAGGTTAAGGCAAACGGGGAGCATCGCGGGACCCTGTTGAGTGTTTGGTGTTGAGCGCACGCTCTAACGCCAGCAACACATACAGCAGCCCACAGACAACAGTTACGACAGCTTAGACCTTCAAAACAAGCAAAAACTCAAAATTTCACAAGCAACAATTACCCACAGATTCAGAGACAAAGACCCACACCTTCATACGCAATACTCACATCTTGACAACAATTCATACCTATTGTACAAATATTGAATAATATTTGTTTTTTGGGTTTAGAGGGGCCACGTACTCACATCTCAGACAAGTTACTCACATGTTCATCAAACAATGCACATCTTCATATGCATGGTTTATTCATGTCGTCATTAACAGCACTCTAGACCTTAAGAGTTCACACCTTCATAGACAACAATCGCTATACTCACACCTTACTACTCACATCTTGACAAATAACAATGCACACCTCAACAAAAACAACTCACACTTGCATACACAACACTCGCATCTCAGTCAACAGCTCACACCTCAATTAAAACAACTCAACATATCACACAATCCTCACATCCATCCTCATAAGCAACACTGTATCCCATAATAGACAATTCTTTATTATACTCGTATCCTCATAAGCAACACGTTCTCCCATATGACAAAAAACAATTCTTGATTATACTCACATCCATCTTCATAAGCAACACTTTATCCCATAATAGACAATTCTTTATTATACTCGCATCCTCATAAGCAACACGTTCTCCCATGACAAAAAACAATTCACACATTCATGAACAAAATTTGATACTCACATCTCCACAAAACAGTAACTCACAGGTTCATAAACAACAATTCAGACAAATTGACACCTTCAAAACAACAATGGCTATACTCACATTCTTCATTACACACTCGCACATCTTGATAAACGGCTATTATTCTCATCTTCATAAAACGATTAGTCACATCTTGATTAACGGCTATTATTCTCATCTTCATCAAACGATTAGTCACATCTTGATAAACAACATATATTATGCAGCTCACATCATCGTTGATAATAGTTGAGTCTTAGCGAACAACTCACACTTTTTAGCAAAGTTTTACTAATAGCGCCTTCATACACAGCACTGAAAAAGTCCACATCTTCATAACTATCGCCATACTCACATCTTCATGCTCGATCTCATAGGGCAACCCGAGCCACCTAAAGGCGAGAAGAGCTGTGTGCCACGCAGGATCGGTGCAAAGCGTGTCGTTGCCGAACTCGCCCGGAGTCTGAAACCCGAAAATAAATTAACAAAAAAAAAGATAAACCAAAATACAGGTGAGGAACCGGGCGATGATCCATATTTACACGGGACGTTCCGTAAACCCACGAAGACGAGTGGCAGGGGAAATTGCGGCATGGAGCAACGGTACGATACCTGTGGCTGGTGGGGCGAATAATAATCCGGTGAAGACACGCACAACCTACAACCACCACGGAATTGGTGTACGGGTCATGGAAACCGACACGCTTGACACGCTCATCTTCCCACGGTACAGCCGTCACGGTGAGGGTTTTCGGATATGGCTTGGCTTACCCTGAAATGGTACGGCGGCTGGGGTAGGTCCTGGATATCTGCCGAGGTGTAGGCGGCGTCTTCTTCCTCGTCCCCCTTGGCCAGTTCCTTAGCCTCCCTCTCGGCCACCATCTTCATGGCCTGCATGAATTAATTGCCGTGGTTGTTGTTGTTGTTGATATCTTCTCCCCAAACCCAAAAACAATTAATTAAATCAAACACCCCCATATATTTATTATTGATACACCCCCCCCCCCCATTTTTTCGGGCGCGAATCTTTGTTCGGTTTATTGGAGTTGAAAATGTTCCTATATTCACGTTCATGTTGTCCGTTGTTGTTGTTGTCGTTGGCGTTGTCGTTAGTTTTTGCTGTGTCCACATTAAAAAGCGTTCCTGCTCTGCCCCGCACCTTCCAGAGTCCGTACCGGTCCAACTGGCGTAGACGGCTTCAGTGGTCAGAGAGAGGCCAACTACCCAACAAAAGGGTATGTGACACACTTCAAGATATCAAACGCGTGACATTGGGCAACAGATTGCCGTGTGCCCACGGGTGCTTCCCCATTTGATTTTTCTTTACTCCTCCCTTGGTTTGCCGTCCGTTCTGTTTCTATTTTTTTGTCAACTACCCAACAACAGGATCACACTTCTAGATATCAAACGTTTACCAGCAGAAAAATAGGCCAACGGTTATCTACCTCCGTGCAGGCGGCTCTTGCGTGTCTACCGTGCCGTTGGGCGAGCTGGCAGGTTGCTCACTGTTCTGTTTACGCTGGTTAATTGCCCCGCTTGTATGAACGTCAACCATGAAATCACCGGCGTGTGTAGCAGCAAGCAGCGTGCGACTACGGTGGGGTACATGACACACGATGCCACGAACAACCTGGATCAATTTTCAAAGCTCAAAATCTCCACACAACAGAAAGAGTGGACTGGAAGCGCCGAAAACGGCGGCCTTGCAGCCGTCTCGTCGAGAGCTTGCTTGCCGAAAACGTATCGTTTCATTCGTGCGTCGTCTTCGTCGTGGAGTAATTGAGCTTCGAAAATTGGCCCTGGGTGTGTGGTATCTTGAGTCATGTCACCTATGGTACACCTAGGGTGGTAGGTAGCCATTTTCGTGGGGCTTGATTGCGTGGCAAGCGTCCCAAAAACACGCTCATCAGCACATGGGTGCAACTTGTCCAGGTGTGATACCTATATATCCGTCTTTGCCGTGACCGATACTCTCTGAGCATGTACGGGGAAAAAGGCCGTTTGAAACACAGCCGTTTCGCTTCCAAATTTCCAAATTTCCAAATTTCCAAATTTCCAAATTCCGGCTTTGCAGATTTCCATTTTTTGCAAGCAACTCGTTCCCGATTTTCGGTGCGGTGCCGGTAGTTTCCACATTTCCAAATTTCCAAATGTTTTCCCTTGACCGCAAATCAAGGTTCTACGGTCTACGGATTTGGTCATTTGGGAATTTGGAAGAAAAATAGCTTTGCTGTTTAACCGGCCCCAACGCCCCATGTCGCAGTCGCCTACGGGCGGGAAGGCAAAGCACGTACCGCTTCTCTGTCGGGGGGAGGTAGGATCTCCTTGGTGCTAGTAGTCATTTCTGTCGACGGCACGAACTGCGGCTTGTCCCCTTGGCCCTCTGCGACAGAACGAGCATACAAGTATAGAACGCAAAATAACAAGGTTCGGAACACGGTCCGGGTGATGTGACGCGGGATGTCTACAGCAGTAACACGGGTCGTTCATTCCGTACCATAATGTGAAGACAACAACAACAACACAAGGTCGGGTGGCGCGGGTCCCAATTCCCATGCCAATCTACCATGCCTATCTACCATGCCAATCTACCATGCCTATCCCAGGATAATAGGAACTCCACGGACTGTTCATTCCGTGAATTCGTGAAAATAACTCTAAAGACAGATCACTTTCATTTTAAAATGAACCACTCCGGAGTAGCTCCTAAACAGGTAGACCACTCTGCCCCTATGCAATAACTGGGGGGCCCGTAGTGAGGTATAACACCGGGGTATATGTGGCGTCTCATCGCATCGACGGAATAATTGGCCGATTTGCTGTAGATATAGAGTAGAATAAGAGATGGCATATCTCGTCATAGAGCGTGGTTTTCTGCAGGAGGTGTGGGACAACATGCACCGGTAATATCTATCTACATAATGTGCGACATCATCGGTTGCGACTCGACAGGGCAGGATACGGTGGAACGTATTGTGACAGTACGGTATGACGGTATGATAAGATGTATCACGATATGCTTCATCACAATATGCCGCAGGACAAGAGGAAGACTTGGGGGCAGAAGCGATACGGAATGAATGTACGTACGTGAGGAACGATTTCGCGTCGCTCCCTCGGCCGGAAAACCAAGAACACACCACCATCTTCCTCCGTCCGGGTCACAACTGTTTGCAAATAGGTAGCATGCAAGCATAGTGCAGGTATCTACTCTACAACCGTTCCCCGGTACACGAAACGCATAAACCACAGCAGCCTACAGCAGTACAAGGACAAGCTTATTTTTCAGCGGTGGTCCTTCCTTCTATTTCTCATCATCGAAACGGGTCACCGGATAACCAACCGGTCTACCTATCGACCGGGGAGATGCCTTCGATCGGGCGAGTAAATCGCGCTGGTGCCATTTTTATGCAGGGAACTAGAATACATATTATCTTGTGGATGCTCGAGATTCTCTTGCACTAAGCCGCCGGTCCCAAAGACCACCAACCAAAAAAAGAAAACGCTTGTAAGAAATCGGAGACGATCGGCTCCCCGCCGGGCAGACAGCTGCTCCGCGCGCACAAATTGCTCCTCAAAGAAGATCGTGTAAAGATTTTGACTCATGTTCAAGGCCAAACAACAGAGCGTTTGCATGTAGTCTGCGCATACATAGTGTTGAAGCATTAATGGACTGGGTGTAGCTTTGCTTTCGTGGAAACTATGCTAGGAAACCGCGGAAAAACAGATGGAACGACTACAGCGAGCGCCTCCACTTAGGAACCTCTGACAAGATGCGAGGCTTGTTTCGAATTTCTCTGTGGGGTTCTTGACGATATTGGTTTTCAGTGTACAAGTAGGTTTCTTAACTGTGAACCTTTTCTTATGGCCAAGTTCTTAAATACATCTCTCGTTTAAGCCTGAATTCTGAATTCCGTAGGTGGTGTGCTCCCTGTAGCAGATTCCCCGGTCTTTCTCCCCCTCTCTGCTGCTGGTACTGGACACAGGAGACCACAGGCGACGCCCGGTTTTTCTTACAACAAAACACAAGAACTCAATCTCTTCTCTCCCACAGATAAAGAGTCCGTGGTAGATTTTCAACGAATTCTAGTATTGCAGGGTGACCAACTTGTAGCATATTTCTACGGTTCCCCGAGGAGCATTTACATGTAGGGATATCTCCCCCGTGGGTAACAGGCTAGAAAAGACAGCAGTTAGATGGCCATCTGCGTTTTGAGATCAGCGTCCAATAGCTCAATTCGCTTTCAAGGGACCGCCGCCTTCGCGATAAACTAAGTTTGTGAGGAAATACAACAGGGAGGGGGTTCGCAGACCGTATCCCTGTCCTTAACCTTAACTCAACTTCCCCGGTCGCATGCTGCACCCAACATGTTTGCTTCATAGAAATACCCCGCGAAGCCTATTGGTTTAGATCTCACCAGCGGCAGCATCGTCAGTCATGTGCACCATCACTTTCTCGCCACGCCCACGACAAACCCTCGCCACAGCAGCTGCCCCCCTCCTCGCGCCACAGCCCCCCGCCCCGTCCAGGCGCGGCGTCATCGGCGCCACGAAAAACGCATCTGCTCTAGGAAAACCTGCCACCGCCACCGCCGCCGCTGCCAACCCCACCACAGCTACTGTAGCAGCAGCAGAGTGCTGATGCGGACATCGCCGCCCTGTGCACGTTTTGTCTGGTATTGCTTGGCCGCGTCCGGTTGCTGTCATGATCACCGAGCAGCTTGCTGGTGGGGGGTGGGGAGGGTAGACGTTAGATTTTTATTTTATTTTACTTTATTTTTCTCTCCCATCATTGGACTTTGTCGTCTGCGCCTCTGGCCCCCATCCTCTACTTCTACTAAATAGCTAGACGACCCAACCGATGTACCGTGTGGTATGTTTTGCTGCAGAAGGGTGTTCCAGGTAGGAGCCAACCGAGCGGTTTTACTCGCGAAACAACGCGCGTATGATTGTGTAAACGAAGCAAAAGGCCGAGCGACCGCACACACGTAGACTGACTTTCAAAAGGGTCGAGTGCTGCACAACTACGTGTAGACGAGGAAACGGCGACCGACCGATGTACATGAAGCAGAGCACTAGGTGAGATCCATCCAAACGAGACCCTTTTTGGCATTTGGCAGCCTCTTGGTCGTGGGACAATCGACCTGTGAAACTCAGTCTAAAGCGTGGGCCACCACTCGCACGCTTTCCGTACTACTGCTGCTGCAACTACTTGTAAATAGCTGTAGCGCAACACAAGGGTGTGCAATCGGTGGATCCGGGTGTGCTGCATTGCACCGCCTGTATTTGCTGTGCTGTACATCGCCGAGAGACACAAGTTGCTGAACCGACAATTTTGTTCTCAGTGACACGTGCAACACGCCAACCCGCGCACGCTGGCACCAACACTGCCGATGGCTGCTGCGCGTTGGCTTCCCCCTCCCCTGCCACAGGGAAACACTACATGCCATGCACACACACGCGTTTCACCTGGATGTGTCAGGTGCAGCGCCGGTGCTACCGTACGTATGCATGCGAGGCTTCCGGCACAGAAATGGGGCCTGATGCTCCCTCGGTGGAGGATGTGTGCATCTCCCGTCTCTCTCACGACGCTACAGAGCATCCTGCCTGCTAGATAGCGGCATGAGAGTCTAGCATAGGATTGCTCTCTCGCCATATTGCTGCTACCACCGCTCTCGGGTGCTGCAGAAACATGCACAGCAGGACAGTTCAGACAACGTTCAACTGTTGTATGTTGGGCCCTTTGTCTCAAACTATACCCTTCCCCTGACACATCAACGCCACAAAAGTCGCGCGACTGCACATGTTTCCAGAGGCATCGAAGGCTACCGGCAACGCTCACCTGAAATCAGACGTGTTCCCCAGGGAGAAGAGGTGTGTTGGCTGTGCAGTGTGCTCGGGCGCTACTGTACAGGCCGCCGCAGCGGGCAGAACACACACACCACCCCAGCCTCCTCTCGCCAATTGATACACGGTGCCCCGGAATGGCAGATCAACCCAGATGCCCAGCAGATTACCCCATTGCACTCACTGCAGTTGCTAAATTGGAACGTGACGGACCAGGAGCGAGTAGAGAGGGTGGACAATCGTTCGCAGCGGCACGCTGAGTATCCCGGGGAGTAATTTACAGGGTGAGTGTGCTTCGCCTTCTTTTTTGATACGAGACAACACTGCTGCTGTAGTGAGACACTGGTACATATCTTGACCCATGCGCCATCAGGGCTGAACGTTCTGTACACAGCACTACTAGGCAGTACAGTAGATAAACTATACAGATTCTCCGCGTACAACAGTAACAGACTCAACCTACACAACAACACCAGAGCACTCAATCCTCACAGCAGTAAATAGTTTCTTCATTCAATACGTCCCCTCTACATGCATGAGAATATTCTTGGACGGGCGTAAGTCTCTGGTGTGGTTGTACATACGCGTAAGTCAGAGGTACCTGGTGTGTTGTACACATTTATTTCCCGTTGCCTCGTTCTACGAACTGTCGACATGTACTGGCGAACTACCTACTCCACAGCAGTAAGTTATAGCGTTGGTTTGACTACCGCTTAACTGCTCTGTGGTTGTACAAGGTATGTTGGCACACAGCAGTCGCTCTGGCATTTCACAACGATAGCGGCAGTTCGTTCCCTACGAAAGAACAGCATTGTAACGACCTTTGTCTTTGGACGCTGAGTTCAGCTCAAATCGGTCATGATCGCCTTCCAAGGGTATCGCGAGAGAGAGGGAAGGTACTGCGGTGCATTGATATTTTGCTCTAGGCAACAGCAGTCCAGAGTTTTGGTATACTGTAGTTTGCACCATGATCAAGTGCATCACCGTTTTCTGACGTGAATCGAGTTCACTACGGAATTCTGACACATCATCCCGCGCACAGCCATGATCTAGACTTCGCCTCAACCTTCCGACCTCCTCAAGGGCTACTGCTGTAGTCTATCTATGAGAGGTCTTCAGACCTTCCTCGGCCACAAGCGACAGTACATGTACGGCAACCCAGAGCAAGGTGTAAACATTACCAAACGTGCAACAGCGTCGGACCAAGAGCAATCGTATTCATAATTTAGAAACTTAGCAGTGAAGACATTGATATACTACAGCCTCGAAATAACTCAAAAGTCTAAGAACTTGAGCAATATTTACGAGCTCGGTCATTGTAAGAACCCCTACACTAACACCTATATAGCGACCATTCGCAGCACAACCCAAGGAACTAAGAACACCAGCCTCGGCCACAACTAGACCTTATGTGCGGGCGCTCGCCGTGTTTCTGTCTTGAGATACACAGGCAGTTTCCTTTCGAATCGCGCCCGGCAGTATGTATACGCGACGACTCACCCGTTCCTGCGAACATAATGCGTCGCACGGTTCGCCGCCTTCAGCGCCGACGACAGGATCTCCACCAACTAGCACTCCATGTACCACGGGTCGCCCCCACCCGCCTCTGGTTCCGTCAGTGTAAAACGCAACCCGGCCCGGCGAAAACCCGGCATATCGCTCCGTCCCGCCATGCTAGGGATGCGAGGTTAATGCCCTAACAGCTTTCGGCAATGCGTTTACGTGGTTAGTCGCCTTTTTTGAGCCACCTTTGGCAAAGTAGGAAGGAACGATTGGCCATCGGTGATGCTCCTTCCTCTCGAGGACGCGTGGTCAACGGTCTTACAACTGCGGCATGCGTTGACATGAGCACCCCCCCCCTACCCTGGTCCGGTGAGAAATTGGCGTGCTCGGTCCCGGCCTTGTAGGGGTGCGAGGTCAATGGTCTAACGACTACGGAATGCACGACTATGAGTACATCCCCCCCCCCACCTCTTGCTCTGGACTACCACTGCTTGCTGTAGCCGGGGTGCGTTCGGCTCTCTCAAGGGAAGGAGGGGGTTACGCGGGACGGGTCAATGTCGCTGACAACGCGAGAACCGTCAACTTCACGGGTCGACCCCGTGGCGGTGAAACGGATAACCCCGTTCGTGAGGCCTCCTATCAACCCAGAGCAGCTGCCTCCAGATTACCTCGCTCTTCTGTCTTTGACCTTTGGGGTGGCTGGACTCATGTTGAAGGTGTGTAGTTCCTATGGTGTTCTTGCTGTGGGGGTTGGTCCTTGTAGGTGTAGCTGCGTGCGAGATTGTCTTTGGTAGCGTTAATAATATGGTCATCGCTGTTATTGTTGAGATTGCCGGACCTTCGCAAGGAACTCTATCAAAAAAAGTCTGTCACTTAATGGTCCATGCATAGGTTTGTTTTGAATTTTTGCCGTACAACAGTTGTTGGTGATGCTGGTGTTGTGTGGATGGTGTCCTACAATAGAGCTTCGCTCATCAACACAGTCGAACAAAAAGACCCGCTCTGAAACTCGGCAAGTTGATTTTGCTGTATATCACCGGTCTAACAGACTCGCCAAATTCATGCGTAACGCACCTGCGATTCTATAGGATAACATGAGTTGAAGGGCGACACATACCGTGGGTTTTCAACGGGCAACCTAACCTCAAGAGGAAAGGTAGAGAATTGGTCTTGCGTGACCCCGGCTGGGGTGCCCAACATTCACCGAAGGTGTAGACAGGCTCCCAGAGCAGACGAGACAATGAGAAAAAGTTATATCGACGTGTGATGCCCCTCCCGATCTAACTGCTGACTTCTGGCTTCTTCCCGTGGATGAAAATTTCCATCACCCACGGTCAACTTACGGTGGTTGCTGATCCCTGCGATGTTGCCTCCATGTGCCATCCCCTTCCCGTCTCTTGCGCCTTGTTTCTTTCCGCGTTTCTTCCGGCATTTCTTGGAACGATTTGCGGCGCAACCGCCAGTCAACATGGGCATCGTGGGCTAGCGTGTTCTGCTGCATGTCCAGCCTAGGAAACATCAAGGTCCACGAGGCCGACCCGAAGCAAATAGGTTGCTCCGTTCTGTGAGTAAAAAAGTCTTACGCTCACACGCTCCCCTTGTGTTGGCTAGACTGCACTGCTGTTTTGTCAACAATAGAGAGTCGACATCATGCTTCATGACATTAGTTGAGACCTGTTCGTGAGACTTTTTAACCTGTATCAACAACCACGAAGGCGACCGACATTGCCGTGAGAACGTCACCAACACCATCAACAACGACAGCACGACACGAACGTCCTATTTTAGTTTCCAAATCCGGCCTTGTCCGTCGTTCGCGACGGTTACAACTATGCAGTTTTCGGCCGCACTTGGCAGTCAGTTTAGAAATCGGTAAGCCTTGAAAAACTCAACATCTAAGAACTCGAACACCATTCGTGAGCTCGGTTGAGAACCCCTACGCTAAAAAACTATATAGCGGTCATGTCGTAGCATAACCCTAGGGACGTACGTAAGAAGCCCGGCCTCGGCCGAAAGTAGAGGATGCTTAATGCGGGCGGGTGCTAACTGTAGGGGTTACCCCGCAAGTATCGCCGTCGCTGACAAGTCTGTGTTGGTTGTTTTGCTGTTGTCGCTCCGGTTGTGACCCCCTCCTCTGACACAGGTTTGCCTGTATGGGCTTGTTCATGAACTACTTCGGTCCGGCCAGTCGACCAATTGTGTAGTGCAGGTGCTTAGCTGGCTGCCGGGTCGGGTATTGCACTCAGAGCACAGCAGTGGCGGGGATTCTAGTCGGAGCGAAACACCGACGATCACATCATTAGGCCCTTGACGGCGAGTCGCCTCAACACGGGGCGGCCATCTTCGAATCTCCGAAATCTCCGAAACGAAACTTCTTCTCCACAAAGGGTTTCTGTTTGACTTTGATTGCCTATTGCCGTCGGAGGCGACAATGTCATAGTGCAGATAGATGGCGTACTGCAGATAGATCAATAGCGGGTCTTTCGTAGCACTGAATAGTCTAGCGGCTAGCGCTTGTCGTAGAGCACACCCATCCATCGTTTTCCGTCGCCGGCTGCCTGTCTCCACAGGATATATCCTAGGCGGCCTATTTTCATGCGCGTACATGCAGATAGCCGTCTGCTCCTTTCGACAGGTAGTGAACGGACTAACCTGAAGCAGTGCATGCCAGGAGGATAGCATGAGGACTTTTTGTTAGCTGTGGAACCAACACAATGCACAGGCGGGTTTTTTGTTCGTGTTGGAGGAAGGCGACGGTGGTCTTGTTGGTGTCGTCGAGGAAAAGCCAGAGCACTAGTAAAGTAGATGGGAAACCGCCGCATTGTAGAGGCATGTATGTACATACTGCAGCGACGCATGTGATGACATTTTGATCGTATTTGTCTTTGACGCCGTTTGTGATGGTTTTCATGCAGGAAGATCCGTTTCAGTTTTCAAAACATGAGGTGGTTACGCCGCCACCTCCGCAGGCTCACCGCACCATGACCGCGGCCGTGCTCGGCGCGAGACGCGGCGCGCAACACCTTTTTTGCCTTGGTCTCCCTCTGCGCGAAAGGAAAGCACTAGAATTGTACCCGTGAGGCTGTTCTAGAACAGACCACACACACACGCAGCACAGCAGCACTCTCCAAAACCGAATTGACCTCTTTCTTGTGTACCGCCGCCAGTGCGCCGCCACCTCGCCACACGCTCACACGCTCGCTGCGCTGCGACCGACCGCGGGCGCGCTGGGCGTGAGGCTTGGCGCGAAGCAGCTTGTATGCCTTGCTCTCCCTCCACGCGAAAGAGTCGGAGGCTGAAACAACCAACTAGCGCGTTTTTGAAACGGGACCACATGTACATCGTATCCGGCCTTTGTATTTTAGATACGAATAAGATAGGCGGGCAAGATATGTAAGATATCATACGAAGGCGAAATTGGGTTGGAAGGAAACGACGTGAACAGAGCACGGTAGCGGCGTAGGGGATGATAGTGGCGGGTGTACAGCTCTACCCATACACTACAGCAGTACAGCCAACACGAGACACAAACATGCACACAAGGGAGTCAGCACCTGGTGTGCCGCAGCTGAGATTTGCGATGGGTACCGTGGTACCGTTGTGTAACGGTGCGTTTCAGACTGCGGAGCGGAGAGAAAACCCACAGCCACAAGCAGCCAGACCTGACACAGGGCAAAGATTCACGACCCAACGACAAGTAACACGCGAATACTCCCTTAATCCCAAACGCTACACTACGACGACCATGGTATCGATCGCATTGACGCTGGTGGGGCTGCTGTTGTCCACCAATTTGGAGAGTGTGAGAGCCGGCCCGTCGCAGTCGAGTCGCCGTGTTGCTCGTCATCGTCAGCAGACGACTGAGCCAGCCACCGCATGGGTGTCATTGCCATCTGTATTTGGAAGCGTGCAAGGGAGCTCAAAGGTATGCATGTAATGTGTGTTTGGTCTTCTGGGGTAAGCAGTACCCGAAGTCGTACGACGCGACCGTGTTTCAGCACGCTTGTGGTCAATTTGATTCTCCACCCTGTATGTCAGCCTTGTTGTATCTATCTATCCATATCCAATCCACTGCCTTTCTTTGCACCAACGCAGATTTTGTTCTGACAGGACCTGCATACTACATGTCAGAGCCATCAAAGCTGCCTGCCAAGTGACATGTGTTTTCATCTCCCCTGTACTCCAGTTGCCGCCAAAGGGTTACATACATAAATTGGGGGATGGGTGTGTCATCGGATTCCTCGCGTGGCGCGACACTGATGTATGTGTGTATGTAGGCCACGATGAAAACATTACCAGAGGTTTGAGTATTTCCTCGGGCATTTTTTTGCCACGTTCAGCCAGAGGTGCTGTGCCCATTACATGCTCTGTACCCTAGCCGATTACCCGGGTTACCAGCAATGGACCGCCTAACGGTAAATTCCCGCGAAAAGCGGGGATGGAAAACGACTGTCCCCGGGGTTTCCAGTCGTCCTGTTCATTGTTACTGTGCGCTGCTCGGAGCGCTGGTACACCACCACCCCAAAACACAAGTATTTTGACAGCAGCGGTGGATTGCTTTACAGTAGATCCTGCGACTGAACCGTAATTGTAATTGTTGGCACCTTGTGTGTTCGAGAGAGAGAGAGAGAGAGAGTGGGCTGAGAAAACAGTCACAGTAAAATGAAAAAAATAACTCGGTGTGGAATACAGTTTTTTGCAAAGATGCACGATATGACAACAGCACGTTGTGTCTCATGAACATGTTTGTTGGTTCGGGCGGGTGAGAAGGATGCAGTGAGCAGTGAGGACTGCTCGTGTGGCGGCGGGGGGAGCGAAGAGAATTACCTCGATCTTTGACTTCGCCGACCCCGCCAACCCTTAACCGGCAAATTACGGGTGAGGGGTGTCAAGGTGCCGTTTGAGTTTAAGGACCCCGGTTGTACTTTTGTTAAGATGCACAGCATATCCACTACTATGCCTGCTGACTTGTAGCATAGTGGATATGATGTCCATCTTATCACGGGTAGTGTACACCCTTGGTTGAAACACGTGCAGCCGGGCTGGGCAGGTTGTTTCGGGCAAAAGGTTGCCAAAAGCCAAAAGACATGCATCCGATTCATCGAATGGATAAGGACTCGCGGGGGGGGGGGATGTACTCATAGTCGTGCATGCCGTCGTCCTTAGACCATTGACGTCGCATCCCTACGAAGCCGGGACGGAGCACGCCGGGTTCTCACGGGACCAGGGGGGGGGGGGGGGAAAATTTCTTTCATCCGGGGTTATGGGGCCCTCCCGGGGGAAACCCAAGGGAGGCCCCCCGGGGCCAACGATCGGGAAAAAAACTCCTATTTGGGGCCCCGATTGCTAAGGCAATGGTGGCCCCGCCTTTTTAAAAAAAAAAATTTTTCCCCAAAACTTAACCCCAAATCAGGCCGCGGGCCCCCCCTTGGATGTTTCCCAAATTTTTGGGGATTTGGTTTTCACCCCCCCCCCGGATTCTGGGAGGGAAAGGGTTTACTTTTCCAAAAAAAAATTTTTCCTGGCTACATACACCTTTTTTTATTTTCACCAAAAAAAAAATTTGTTGGTATTCAGGGTTTTACCCGGGGGGGTGTTTTTTTTTTTTACCTCCACCCGGCTAACCCGGGGGGCCAAAAAAAAACCCATCTTAATGGGGGGGAAAAGATTAAAATTTTTT